ACAATAAAACTACTAAAAAAAAAAAACAATAGAACATTATTCAAGATTTATCTCTGCGATGAAGAATTTGTTCAAGTTAAATAATAACTGATAAAAGAAACAAACATTATTCTGTTCCGGCAAATAATTGTCATTCTAAAAGTTACTTGAGTTATCTGCAGATAAAAAAGTACTCTATACCTGAATGTACGACGTCACGAACATTAGTATTCCAATGAACAAATAATATAAACAGTACTCTCTTATATGAGAATCGAAATCGTGTCTATAAAAAAAATTGTGATCTTTAGACTGTATTGCAGTAACAGCTTGAAAAAAGAACCTGCTGATACGTTAAAAAAAATGCTTACCGATTTATTGGCTGTAATGATGCATCACTATCATTGGTAAGGCGTTCACCAGTTTCTAAATCAGATATTTGGGCTCGAAGGAAAATGGTTGTTAAACCACCCAGAACAACTGACAAAAGTGGGAAACCAGCACCATGTACCACCGATGTAACCGTACCGAGAATCATAAAGAAATAGTCACATGACGTTGCAAAAGACAGCTGAAAAAAAAAAAGTGCTATCTTCAAATTCTTTAAAATCTAATGCCATTATTAGTCACTTTTTTTGATGTTCATATATTTCTATTCTTATATTAATTTAGTACTAAGCGTTTACTAGTAATAGCTATTTTGTTGACGAGATTTCTAAATTCAAGAAACACTGCAAAGAACAATGATTTCAGAGTATCAATTTGAAGTTAAACCTCTAGAAATACCTCTTTTAATTTGCAACAGAAATGTTGAGCTGTAAATAATTTTCCGTTAAAAAAGAAATTGCTGTTAAGGAATGAAATGAAGAAAAAAAACTTACAAGTCCCTTTTGTTTTCCATCGTTTTCAGTCTTAACCTTCTCATCGTTATCAAAACTAAAAAATGAAAAGAACACTTTACATAAAGATGATCTGGTAATTGAAATGATTTTTTAATTTTTTCTTAGATTTGACTATTTGAATAGGTATATGACGAAGTACCAGAGCCTTACTTTTAAGAGTTTTAACGTTATTTTACGTTTCGTTTTTTTGTCTATATCGTCTCTATAATACTGATTGCGGTTTACTATTTTTTGCGTAACTCTTAGCTATTTTATTTAACACATACTGTTTGCAGTATATAGTAGTAAATTATTTAACTAAAAGTTAGATCTATAATTTTTGTAGGAATAAACTTGTGACTTCATCAAAAGATTTCTTCATTTTGGTTTTAACAAGTGGCTCAAAAACTGCGATTTAAAAATCGAGGTAAATGTTTGGTTAAAAAAAATTGGTACGTTTGTTTATAAAAATAATTTATTTTTTTGTAGTTTAATCAACAGATACACTAAAATATCTTATCTGTTCAGTGACAAATAGCAATGACTGTATATCTGTTCAAAACTTATCATTATCGAGTATCATTAACAGTCGACAGTCTAGAAGCGTTAAGCTTACTGAGAGGAAAAAATTGTTCTTTTTTTTTTTATTAAAGGTATCCTCTTTTATAATTGAAAAGCAATTAAAAAACTGCTTGCAAAAACAAATTGTTTTATTGTACAAAGCACATTTTCTGTAAACTTAAAGTTTCAGACTGTCTGACTGAAGTATAGAGGCATTTTCTTTTTTGCTATTTCTCTCTGGTATTCAATTGTTTCAACAAAATCTTAAGGTTTGCTACTATTTAATACTACGTTTTTTTTTTAGTCTCAGCTTCTCTTTATTATTTTTTAATTAAATTAACTGAAAAATAAATTTTTATAAGTTATAGACAGTAAATTAATAAGTAATCAAGTAAAGACATTTAAACAATTTATATTAAGCAGAAAAAAAAAGAAAGAAAGAAAAGGAAGCAGAAGACCAAAATAGGTATTTGACACATGATTTAAAAGTTAAAAAGTCACATTTTTTGAACATTTAAACAAGCTAAAATAAAAAAAAAAAAGTAGCAAAATTTATAATAAATTTATAAAATATTAACCACACATAACTAAGCTTATTTTTTACCTGCTTAAGGTGGAGTAGAAAGAGGTTGATGAATAAATTAGAGGACTTTTTTCATTTAATAACATAGCTATACAGAAAAAGATTATGCAAATATCACACAGAATTTCCTTTGCAAAAAATACCTCACTGCTCAGGTCAACAGGTACTGTGCAGAGTTATGATAATATTTGATGTTGATAATGATAAAAGCAAACGCTGTTTATATCTTTTATCAACAAATACATTTCTATTAGATTCTATTCTATTGCTATATTTCTAACACAAGCAGTAGCATAAGACGGTGATACAGTTCAACCATTTACATAATAAAAAAATGTTACTATTTTTGATAAGCATCTGGATAAAATTACAGTAAAACAGCTGCCAATTTCAATTTTTTCTTCATATTTAATTAACTTTTTTTTGGTGTTTTCTCATGTTTTATAATAAACAAAAATTTATTACAAAATACGAATATGTTTTGTTCAATAAGTCAGTAGCTATATTTTATTAGAAAGAAGGGCACACATTTAGAGTGTCATAAAATTACTTTTGAATAAAACTAGCATTTAGAAAAGTTTTTTTAATACTGGTTATAAACAGTTTTAACTACAGTTTAGTATTTGTTCAAGTCTATGCTCTTTGAAATACTAATATTGTTGGTGGATCAATGCATTATCTAATATCAACAACAAGATTCTCTCTCATATTAATTAATAAACATCAAATATCAATTGAAAAATAGCTTCTTTTTTTTTTATAAATTCTATACCTGAATTCAACACTGGAACCATTGAGCTTTACTAGCTGGGATTTTGGTGATCCAGATGAGATTTTCTTTGCTTGGTCTTCACTCATTCAACTGCTATTTTTAAACTAAAATATGCTTTATCAAAAGAACAAAAATAAAGCAAACATTAATGCACTTTTGAAAAACAATTATTTACGCAATTGTAACATACGTCTAACTAAATCTTTTTTTCCTTTTTTTTTTTTTGTAACGATTTGACACACTTTTTTTTTTTCGCAACATTTTTAGTTAATTTCTTTTTTTTTTTTTTTTGTTATTCTCTTTTACTGAGATTTTTTTTTACAGTTAATATATTCCAAAAATGATGTACAACGCATCATACGTTATCTAATAATCGTCTATTTTCACTACCATTGTATGATAGCAGCTTAAGAGAATACAATTGAAAATTGTAGTTTCTGTCTATTCAGGATTCTTTGGTAAACCTTCCTGAACAATAAATATTTTTATGACTGTAATCTAACTAAGAAAATTAATAATGCTAGACTTAAGAAGCGAAAAAAATTTTCTTCACTTGATAATGACACAAAAATCTTGACCTTTAATTACAAATTTAAACAATGCCTAATTAAGCAACGAAAATTAGATTCAATCTAAAAGAGTTGTTTCTGCGACTTCAGGCTGATTGATTTTCAACTATCTATTTGACTTGCTTGCATTAATCATTTATTGATAGTGTCAAAAAGTTTTGAATAAAATTGACAATATTTTTTCTGTTACATAATTGCGTTTTTAAAGGTTTCCAAAAATAAAAAAAAACATTATTTCTAAAACATGCGATACTGTTAAACAGAACAATTATACGCGAGATAATGTTAAAATTCAACAAAAATTTCAATTATCATCATTTTTTTTTTTGGTCACTAACTTTCTCTACCTCTAACAAGTGAATTTCCTACAAAAATCGTAAACTTCATCAATTTAATTATTTTAAGGTAGAAAAATTTTAAACTGATTTAAAAACTTATGTGAAACTTACTCTTACCACTGAAAATAATCAAGCAAAAAAGAATCGAAGGCAATATGCAGAGTACAAAAGTTCGTTGTAAGCCTATAGGACATCAAAACTTATTTAAATATCATTGGTTATCAGTAATGTGACCGTGTAAAACCAATTTTTGTGGCTGCACAGCTTAGTAACAGTTTTTAAGCTACTCATCAGCTGTTTACTCTAGTTTCTGCTTTATGGTTCAGATATTCAATGACAAAAATTTGTTTTATGAGCAGAAACTTGATAAAATCACTGTAAACTTGAAAAGGAAAAAAAAGCGCCTAGATGTTTTTTTAAGTGCTACAAAATAAAGACAGCTTAACAGAAGGTATTTGCGTAGCTTGTCACACTACAACTCGTTAAATAAATGTCAAGTGTAATTACAAATAAATTTACTCAGTACTTTATTGTTCTTATTACTACTAAGACAGACACATTTTAAAAAATTTTTTAAACTTTTATTGACTATTTAATTTTTGCAACTTTTTACTCTCACTTTTTTTTACTACTTATTTTTAAAATCTTCAAAGCTCTGTTTCTTCATTGAATATAACCTCATAAAAAAATCTTAAACATTATTAGATCTTTCTAAATGTTATCAATATTACTTCCTGATGTCTCTTCTTATTCAAAGTAGCTATCATTGCTAAGAATGGCCACTTTTAAAGAATTTAGCAACTGTTCTAACTTAAAAAAATAACAATTAATTTCGCATTTTTGCCAACAAATTAATTTCCGCTTATAAAATCGCTACAGTAAAGTGCAGTACAACAAAACACTACGATCTAAAGAAGGACAAGAAAGCTTGTTGCCAGCAAATATGAATCTGACGCAAAGTGATAGTCACTAATAAAAGTGACAGGTATCAGCATGGCAATAGTATTACCAGTCGGTCGCCGAACTGGAGCGACTAACCATATGATTCAACTAGTGACATAATATTCCTCCAGTAATCTTTTTAAACCCTCTTATGTAAATCGTTTCTGTAAGTGCAATGTTGAGTTCGAGATTTTCGAATACAATTGAAATTATGTTTTTATTTTTTGCATATTCAATAATATGCATTTATATTTCCAATGCCTATCCCTGCTCAAAATAACAGACGTCAAAAGTAGTTGACAAAATGTTAAGATATTGACGATAGGGTAATAAGTATAGTTTATAGTTTGTAAATTGTAAACCGTTCTGAGCACAATTTTTGGAGTCTTATCAACTGGATTTCTAAATTTGAACAAAAGGACTGATCAGAATACAAATTACATTATAGCGGATATTTAATTTTTGTGTAATTCTGTAGTTTGTTCACAGTTTTGCTCACTGGCTTATTCCTATTTAATTTTAAAGTTATTGACTGCTATTCAAGAGTTATCATTTAAGCTATTTAGTTGAATGTAAGAAGAAAAAACACATAAATCAAAAATTGATCACAATATCAAATATTTATCTAATGTTTCTTTTATCTAGTTGTTGTAAGCTGCAAACCTTATTTGATGACTGAAAAACATTCGTCATGTGTTCATACTTCTTCCTTATAAATCCATATGTTTTTCTATCAAGAGCTTTACAGTTAACAATGACAATGTTGTCGAAACCAACAGCCATCAAGAATTGTTGTTTAAGACTGCTTGCGACAGCAGCGTTATTCCTCCTGTTTTTATATGAACTATTCGGTATAGAGAGACAGCAAATATTTTTGGCAAATTAAGAGCCCAGATTTTTAAAATGCATTTATCTGAAAAAGATAGTTTTTGAAATAATGCTAATTACTCGCATGCATAAATGGATTTCAATCAAAAAGGCTTATTTAATAATGAAAATGTTCAACTGAAACTGCTATTGTGCAGATAAACCTCACCGCCTTATCTGGTGATCAACAAAAATGATCATATGCATCGGTAATGAG